GAGGGATCGGATTGTTGTCAGAATATGTAATGGTTTGATGTTAACGAAACAACAGAGAAGTAAGTGACATATGATGTTTTGGATTACATAAAAAGCTGGTAATATGCGTTATGTTTATGAAATATTTATATTAGAATTACTCCAAGTAATTTTAGTTCACGTATTGGATTTACAAATTAAATTTTTAGTTTACGAAAATGACGATATCTATTTTTGTTATGTTTAAATTCCAATCGAAATTGAATGAAAAATCCTAAAAAAATATTGAACTTTCCAAATTTGATAAAAAAAACTAAAATTTTGATTTTATCAAATAAACATAAAACTTTTTAAATTTGTCAAAACAAAACTTAATTCTTCTACGATTTTCAAAATAAACAAATGAGATGACGTGATATAAGAAAATGCAAACATGTCAAATTATTATTTTAGTTTTTTTACGATTGTATATAGTTCATGTATTTTTTGGAATCATTTAAAGTGTTTAATATTTTTTTTTGACAATCGCATAAACGTTTATGTATTTTTTGGATCACTTAAAAAGTTAAATGTTTTTTAAATTCACTTAAAAAGTTTAATATTTATTTGACAAAAACAAAAAATCGGTGTAAACAAATGTTTTTTATTAAACATGTACTTCACCGTAAAAAATATATAAACGTATTCAACGAATATATAAAAAGAATTTTATAATAAAATAATACAATAATATCTATATTTTCAAATTTTAAAGACCTTTGTATATATATATATATTAGTTTTGTTATATTCATTTCAACGTTTTTTCATAACAAAAGAGAAAATATTTTATATTAAAATAAAAAAGAATCAACCGCGCATCGCGCGGATCTCACCTAGTTAGTTTAATGAAAGAAGTGGAGGTCAACGTGCATGGTCGAGTTCTTCGTATGAATACGCAGTTATTCAAATTCAGCAGTTGATTTGCATTTCAAAGATGACAACACTTGCCCTCCTTTTAAAAAGGGGGAAAATATCAAAGAGAATCGAAATGGCCTAAACCCATACGTCGCAAAGTTTATGTAATGACGACAAAAGTGATGAGGGAACTCCTTTGACCTAGCAATTTATCCATATTTTTCAATACATATATATATATATATGCATGTATGTATATATGTATATATTACATATATGCATGTATATCTGAATGTGGAGGAGATATAAAGAGAAGCTCAACTGCTCTCTTTAGGATCACGGTTTAAGTGATCCGAAGCCAACACACACAGCAAGGGAAAGAAGAACCGCCCAACTAAGTCACCCTCTCAACCACTCTCCATCCCTCAGCCCAAGGGGGACCGATCAATAATTATATATATATATATATATATACACACACACACACAACGTTAAGACGAGTATATTAATTAGCGCCTTCCTAATAGTGTTAATGTATACACAAATATTAGTTCATGCAAAGCATATTAATGATGTTTAGGCAACTATAAATAAATTAGCTAACAAAAAAAAGTCAATGAATACATCTATATTACATACATACGCGCGCGCGTGTGTGTGTATATATATATATATATATATATATATATAATATTTGTACGTCTTCTTGGTATATATAACTATTGACCTTTGCCCCCATTGATAAAAGCCTGGCATTGATTTAGCGGCTTCCCATTGCATTTTCCCATCTCTCCTCTGACCTCTTTGACCTTATTCCCTCCATCTCCCCATTTCTTCATTTACTCTCTCTCTCAATGGAACAGTGAAACAGAAGAGGTTCTGAGTGTTCTCATTGAATGACAGAGCCACATCTGATCCTTTGGCTTGTCCTCTGCATTTATTCATCCAACTGTACTCGATCTTGATGGTTCCACATCTCAAGAAATATATACACCCGCCAACACATATATATACACAGATATATGTATATAAGGAGGGAGAGAGAGAAGAGAAAGGGAATCCCCATGCACCGATCTGACAGCCAATCTAAGTTCTTCTCTTTCTGCTGCTGCATCAGTAACCAAACAAATGCCTTAAACTCTCCATGTTTCCAAGATTAACCAGACAAGTAAGAAGCAAAGAGACTCCACTCCATGCACTTGCATCCAAAAAGAGTCAAAACAGAGATCATGCACTTACAACGGGCTCTTCCTCTTGCCCTCTTCTTCCTCTGTTCTTCACTCTGGTCGGTTTCGGGACAAACCCATCACCCAGATGATCTTCAAGCTCTTCTCGAGGTGAAGAAATCTTTAGCTACAGACGCTGAAGGTGATGTTCTTCGACAATGGAACTCCAAGAACACCGACTTCTGTACTTGGATCGGTGTAACGTGTGGCTCTGTCTCCGACGGCGGATCGTTTCGGGTTGTCGGGTTGAATCTCTCTGGCTTGGGCTTAACCGGTTCGATTTCCCCCTGGTTCGCCCGGTTTGACAACCTAACCCACCTCGACCTGTCGTCCAACAGTCTGGTGGGTCCCATCCCACCTGCTCTCGCCAACCTCTCTTCCTTGGAGTCTTTGCTCCTCTTCTCTAATCAGCTCACCGGCGGGATACCCAGTCAACTCGGCTCGCTCATCAACCTCCGAGTCATGAAAATCGGAGACAACGAGCTTACAGGGCCCATCCCGGAGACTCTGGGGAACCTGGTGAACCTCCAGACGCTCGCCATGGCCTCGTGCAGACTCACCGGGCCCATACCGAGTCAACTCGGACAACTTGACCAGGTGGAGAGCATGATACTGCAGGACAACGAGTTGAACGGACAGATTCCGGCCGAGTTGGGAAACTGTTCGAGCCTCACCGTGTTCACCGCGGCGCAGAACCGGCTCAACGGGTCAATACCGGCGGAGCTGGGCCGACTCGACAACCTCCAGATACTGAACCTGGGAAACAACAGTCTCTCCGGAGAAATACCGAGCCAACTCGGCAAAATGAGTCAACTCGGATACCTGAACCTGATGGGGAATGAGCTTCAGGGTCTAATCCCAAAGGCTTTGGCTGATCTGGGCAATCTTCAAACCCTTGATTTGTCAGCGAATAATCTCACCGGAGGGATACCGGATGAATTCGGGAACATGGGTCAGCTTGTTAACTTGGTTCTTGCGAACAACGGTCTTTCTGGTTCTGTACCGAAGAGCCTATGTTCCAACAACACAAACTTGGAGCAACTGGTTCTGTCGGGAACCCATCTTTCCGGAGAAATTCCAGCGGAACTCAGCAAATGCCGGTCGCTGAAACAGCTTGATTTGTCGAACAATACTCTCTCGGGTTCAATCCCTGAGGAGTTGTTCGAGCTGATCGAACTGACTGATCTGTATCTCCACAACAACAGCTTGGAGGGTACGATCACGCCCTCCATATCAAACCTCACCAATCTACAGTGGCTCGTGCTTTATCACAATAACTTGGAAGGCAAGTTACCGAAGGACATCGGGGCATTGAGCAACCTGGAGGTCTTGTTCGTCTATGAGAATCGTTTTTCAGGGGAAATACCTGTTGAGATCGGGAACTGCACGAAGCTGAAGATGATCGATATGTTTGGGAATCATTTCAATGGAGAGATTCCTCCAACTATAGGAAGATTGAAGGAGCTTAATCTGCTTCACTTGAGACAGAACCAACTCGTTGGTGGCCTTCCCGTCACTTTGGGCAACTGTCACCAACTGACGATTTTGGACTTGGCAGATAACCGGCTTTCCGGCTCGATTCCTCCCTCGTTCGGGTTCTTAAAGGCGCTAGAACAGCTAATGCTTTACAATAATTCTCTTCAGGGCAATCTTCCTGGTTCACTCGCCAACCTCAAGAACCTCACCAGAATCAATCTATCTCGTAACAAGTTCAACGGGTCGATCGCTCCGTTTTGCAGTTCAAGCTCATACCTTTCGTTTGATGTCACGAACAATGAATTCGAGGGAGAAATCCCTCTCCAGCTGGGGAATTCTCCGAGCCTTGATCGCCTGAGGTTAGGGAAGAACCAATTCACAGGTAGAATCCCATGGACGTTGGGGAAAATCCGTGAGCTGTCCTTGTTGGATCTGTCGAGCAATTCTCTCTCGGGAGCCATACCGTTGGAGCTCGTCTTGTGCAAGAAGCTGACACACATCGATCTGAACAACAATTTTCTTTCGGGGCCAATGCCTCCATGGCTGGGAAAGCTTCCGCAGCTGGGAGAGATCAAGCTTTCTTCTAATCAGTTTGTCGGTTCTCTTCCCACTGAGCTTTTCAACTGTACCAGGCTGCTTGTTCTATCTCTCGACGGAAACTCTCTTAATGGGTCGATTCCAAACGAGATTGGTAACTTGGGAGCTCTCAATCTCCTCAACCTCGAAAGAAATCAGTTATCGGGTCCTCTTCCTCCAGCTATAGGCAAGCTGAGCAAACTGTATGATCTTCGGTTATCAAGAAACAGCTTAACCGGAGATATCCCAGTTGAGATCGGACAGCTTCAAAATCTTCAGAGTGTTCTCGACCTCAGCTATAACAATTTCACAGGGGAGATTCCTTCTACGATCGGGGCATTATCCAAGCTCGAATCACTTGATCTTTCGCATAATCAGCTGACAGGAGAAGTACCTGCCAACATTGGCGAAATGAGGAGTTTAAGTAACCTCAACCTCTCTTACAACAACCTCAATGGAAAACTGAAGAAACAGTTCTCGAGATGGCCTGCTGATGTCTTTGAAGGCAATGTCGGTCTCTGTGGAAGCCCTCTGAGTCACTGTAACAGAACAGGAAGCGACAACAAGCAACCTGGTCTCAGCGCCACATCCGTTGTCATAATATCGGCAATCTCCACTCTGGCTGCAATTGCTTTGATGATACTTGTAATCGCTCTCTTCTTCAAGCAGAGGCGCGATTTCTTCAAGAAAGCACGAGAATCAAACAGTACATTCTCGTCGAGCTCTTCTTCACAGGCTCAGCACAGGCCTCTCTTTCGCCCTGGAGCTGCAAAGTCAGATTTCAGGTGGGAAGATATCATGGAAGCCACGAAGAACCTTAGTGATGAGTTCATGATTGGATCAGGAGGTTCTGGAAAGATCTACAAGGCTGAGTTGGATGACGGAGAGGCAGTTGCTGTGAAGAAGATTCTCTGGAAGGATGATCTCCTCTCAAACAAGAGCTTCAGCAGAGAAGTTAAGACACTAGGGAGAATCAGACACAGGCATCTGGTTAAGCTAATTGGTTATTGCAGCAACAGAGCAGAAGGTCTAAACCTGTTGATTTACGAGTATATGGAGAATGGTAGTGTCTGGGATTGGCTTCACGCAAAGCAACCCGTGAACGGGAAGAAGAAGCAAGCTCTGGACTGGGAAGCAAGATTGAGAATTGCAGTAGGGTTGGCTCAAGGGGTAGAATACCTTCACCATGACTGCGTTCCACCCATCATTCACCGCGATATTAAATCCAGTAATCTGCTTCTGGATTCCAACATGGAACCGCATCTGGGGGATTTCGGGCTTGCCAAGATCCTTACCGAGAATTATGACACCAACACAGAATCAAATACTTGGTTTGCAGGCTCGTACGGTTACATTGCTCCAGGTACACAACAATTGCTAGAAACTCTTTCTCTCTCTTTGCCATGTTAAGCTGAGCTGATGTCTCGGAACTGTGCATTGCAGAGTACGCATACTCTTTGAAGGCGAGCGAGAAGAGCGATGTGTACAGCATGGGAATAGTGTTGATGGAGCTCGTGTGCGGGAAAATGCCCACCGATGCACCGTTTGGTGCAGATATGGACATGGTGAGATGGGTGGAGACTCGTCTCGAGACAGTGGGTCCTGGAAGAGAGGAGCTCATAGATCCAGAACTAAAGCCAGTTTTACCGTGTGAAGAAGAGATGGCTTATCAGGTGCTTGAAATCGCAATGCAGTGCACAAAGACTTCTCCTCAGGAGAGACCGTCTTCGAGACAAGCATGTGACAGCCTTCTCCATGTCTTCAACAATAGAACGGCTGGCTATGGCTACGGGAAGCTGCACCATGACAACTCTAAATGATTTTTTTTTTTTGGAAACAAGAAACTGAAAACCCTGAATCTGCGTTGTAGAGAGTGATTTTAATCTTTAATGATTGATGTGATCTTTACTTGAATCGTCAGTTGCACATACAGCAGCAATTCATATCCGTCCTGCACATTTCAAACATACACCAGCTAACGAATCGTCAGACCAAACTAGCAACTTCATTTTGTACTTTCTCAAGCAAGATGTACCAGTGAATTGGAAAACCACGTGATGCAGAGTTTCTCATTCCCAATTATTGGCAAGGTACAGACAGATTCAGATGGCGAAAACACAAATCTGTCAGTTCATAACAACAGGATAGACACCAAATCAAAAGAGATCCAACCCAATGGGTGCCGCAAAAACATGTTCTAGAAAAAGCTTCTACACAAGGTATCGCTTAAGCGGTAGTGGATGACTTCAAAGGGCTGTCTGTAGATCATGTCTGAAGGACCCCAATGGTTATTGGCTCATCAATCCCTGTCTTCATCTGCACAGAGCATAAAAGCGAAGTTGGATCATTCCAAGTTAGACTAATGAAAGGTGAACATCTGAATAAGGAACAAATACATCAATCTTCTCGGTCCAAGAAAATTAGAAAGATAATAATACACCACGAGCAACAAGACCCTCGAGAACAGGCCTTTGCAACTGTTTAAAAACAAGTAGAAAGAACATTTAGAGATTCGGTGAAAGGAAGATATGTTATAAGTTTTTCCTAATTTTTGCTTACATACAACTCCAAGGGATCAAAGCTACAACGTACTAGCCTCTGAAACCCAGAATCTCTGACATCTAGGGGTTCATCAACAAGCTAAAGGGATCATGCAATCTTGTACACGACTGTTTCAATGCAAGTTGCTAATTAGAAATAGAAAAACCTAAGAACTTGCAAAACACTGTATTCTTCTCCAGGTTTTCATGTACCGTATACTAATGACTCAAACATCACTAGAAACCAATTTCGTTTTTTTAGAAATGCATGAACCAGAAACATCTACCAGTTTTGACAAGGATAAACTACATCCACAGAGGAGAAAGCTACAAAGCCAATGTTCATATGCGTACAGCTTGAATAGCACAAAACCATCTCCCAAAATTATTACATTCCAAACTTCACAAAATGACAGAGACACTAAAACAGCAATCAAATAGACAGAGACACTAAAACAGCATCCCCTCGAATTGTTCTGGGAAACTTTAGTAAGGAGGTAACCACCTGTCTTAATATAATCTTGACTTTTACAATAGTTGCTAACTAATCCATGTTTGCTGCTACCTAGCCGCAGGGGAAATCAACTCACTTTACCAATAAGCAAGAAAATTTTCAACTGGTAATTACAAAACGGTGCTACCCTCGTGAATACACATGTACTGATGAACTAAGAAACAGCTCACAATTCACAAAATTGAAACTTGAAAGGCAAATCAAGTGCTCTGTACTCTAAATTTCAAGTTACTAAGGGACAGTTATACAGTGTCTTCGAAGAACAGTCCAATTCTAGGGATCCTTCACCCCGAAAACGAATATCAAAGGAAGAAATCCATCTCGCCAACTAACAAGTTTGAGCCTTTTTCCCTCCAATTGATCACAAACACTGTTCAGAAAACCGAATCAACGCAGAGCAAATTCGACAATAACAGAGGGGAGGAGAGAAAGATACCGAAGTATCGGCGCTCATTCGCAGCCTTGGCCTTCTCAATCATCACTTCGAGATCTTCCTTGAGCTTCGCGTCCCATTTCACGAGTTGGTTCGCGAACACAGCACCCAATCCCATCCCCAACACATGTTCCCACGGATCTGCATATTCAACACCAAAACCCATACAAATCAGACGAAACCCAGTTCCGAGAATCGCCGAATCCGACCCCGATCATCCCCGAATGAGATATATTTAGGGTTTCTTCGCATGATTCGACTTACGGCGCATATAAGGGAGCTTGCGGAGGGCATTGGAGTACATCTGGGTGCCGAGACCCAGCAGAGCTCCGACCATCGTCGCCGTCAACGGCATTATCTTCTTCGATTTCTCTCGGTTCGTTAGCCTTGATTCTGTCTACTCGGATTTCACTCTTCGTTCTGGGCCCGAACTTCACTAAGACACAGTCATCTTTAAAAAAAAAAAAAGAGCGACCTTTAAATTTTGATGAAAAATTCTGAAAACCCTAATAAAAGGATGTTCTTTTTAAAATAAGGAATCCGAAATATTAACATTTAAAAAAGGACTTGGTTAAATTAAATGTTAACAATATCTTGTAACTTTTCCAAGAAAAAAAAATCATCCAAACATCTTAGATTCTCAATGACAAATACATTTTTCAAATCTCCTATAAAATTTAAAAAACCCTGTCTAATATAGAATTTAAATACTAAAATCGATTATCTTTATAAACATTTTAACAATTTATGTGTATGTGACACTTTTAATTCTATTTAATTTTAAAATTAATATTATCATGTCATTATTAAATAAACCGTATCAATCATAAGATTTTTAAAAAAAAAATATTAAAAAGAAGAAGATGAAAATTTTACAATTTTTAAGCCTTAACTCTCGAGAACTAGAAAATATGTCAAACGTGGTTATTGTTTCTTGAATCTAACCTAAAATAAATTACCTATTTTGCAGATGAAATTCTTATTATTTAACAGGAGCAGTAAATATGAATCAATTTGGTGCAAAAAAAAAGGGGGTAAGAGCAAAGTTGGTCTTTTTTTAGATGAGATTGGATTGGAAAATTTTACCATGAAAATAATAGCATTATTATTATTGTAAGGTAATGAACCTACTAAAAACTGCTACCCATTTCTAAATTTTAAATGTATTTTCCAAACAAAAGAAAAAGAAAAAAAAAAGACAATCCATAAATTTCCATAATAGATTGGGATAATATCTTTTTTGTTGGGATAATCGCATAAAAATACCCGAACTTTTACAAAAATCTTAAATAAATACTCGAACTATAAAATTATCATATAAATACCTGAACTTTTCACAACTTTCACATAAATATCCAGATTTTAAAAATTTTTCCAAATCAAACCCTCATCCGTTAACGTCATTAAACGCAACTGCTGACTCTACAAAAAACATGTTGATTCAGCAAAAAATTGATGACTCAGCATTCAAATTAAATATCCAAATGTTCATCTACATGTATTTAAATTAATATATGCATATAAATTCATATATATATATATATATTAAAAATTAAAATTATTTATAATTAGTAAAACATATATATACATAACTACAATATATATATATCATTACTAATGCATATATATTAAAATAAAAATAATTATAATTAAATTTATATGCATACATAATATATATATTAAAATAAAAGTAATAATAACTAACATATACATATAATATATATTATGTATATATGTATATTTTGTATATATAACTAATATATATACATATAAATATTATTTTTAATATTATATATATATATATATATATATATATATATAAATTCACACAGAGATAATAGATTGGGATAATATCTTTTATTTTCCTTACCCATAGGATTTCACACCAAATCAAACTTCATAAAGAAACAATCTTTATTCAAACAACTAAATTGGAAAATAATTAGGAGATTCATCCTAGAATATAGAAAGATGGGAAGGTGATTAGATCTTCCAATTAAATCCATAATTCCTTAATTATCGTCATAAATATTAAGGTTGACTCATGTGTTTAAGGCAGCCCATTAACACAAAAATAAAATATTGTTCCAATTTTTTTTGTTTTTTGCCAAATTCCGTTAGAAATGTAAACAGACAAAAATCAGATTTTATAACTTTACTGTTATAATCACAATAAGTGTTCTTCTTATTGGATATTCAGCTTCTTAGAGTACGTAGATTATGTCCTATATCGGCTTCATAAGACATGATTTTAAACCCAGAAGATGAATTCTATGATGGTTAATTGTAATAATATGGAAACTTTTATTAATTTCCCCCGTTGATTTCGACCGTCGACTAATAAGCGGCAACTATGTTTATTCCCTTTTTCACTAAATACTCCAATTATCATATGATTTAGAATTTTTTAATCTTAATTTATTTATTTATAAGACATAAAAATATATTATACAGTGCAGGGAGACAAGTCATAGGCGACAAAGGAATCAGCTCTCTCTCTCTCTACATATGTAAATGCCATTCGTGCTCTCCCTCTCTCTCTCTCTCTCTCTCTCTCTCTCTCTCTCTCTCTCTCTCTCTCTGACAGTGTCTCTGAATACTCTGTTTTATTTCTGTTCTAACCATTTTCAGACAAAATCCCCACGACCTTACAGCTCGAGAAATCCACTAAATTTGGGGGGTAATTTCAAAAGGGTGTAATCTTATTTACCCAAACACTAATGGTGGAGAATCATGTGATCATTTTCTTGTAAGAGAAATTAGAAAAACAGGAGAACAACAAACTGTTTCATTGTTCTGTTTTTCTTTCCCCTGTTTTTATCCCTTTACCTCTTCTCTTGTATAACCATTTTCTTGTTCCTGGAACAGGGAGTTCTTCTGAAGAATGGTGATTCTTAAGATGTTCTGTTCATGTCTGCCCACGGAATGGGTCAAGGTTTAGGGAACAGGCCAAAAGAACCGAGGGAGAATCCAATAGAATACAGAGGGATTGTGTTGTTCTTGATTTTGATGGAAATGGCGTCTTCGGAGGTGGAAATGGCGCCGTCTCAGACATTCAGTTGCCTCCTCAGAGATCGTAGCCGCCACGAGAAATGCATCCGAGAAGATGACAGCAATAATGTCCGAACCGTACAGACCGTGTTCGAGAAGAATCTCAAAGTTTTTGTCAGAGATCATCTCGACAGAGAAGCTATGGAATATTCCTCCAGATCCCCTGTCTCCGATCGCAAGCAGACACGAGAATCTCAGATTCTTCAGCAGGTTTCTTCGAATTCTCTGTCGCCATCCCCTTCTGTTTCGATTTCGAAGCAGTTCTGCGATCCGGGTCAACCCGAGAACCCGTCAAGAAACGAAGTCTTGGGCGCTTCTTCCCTGGTTCAGATATGGGAGGCAAGATTGCAGCATCCGAATTCAGGCCAAAGTCAAGCCCTGACCGATAGCAGGACGACGTCCGGATTGAGCCAAACCGAGAATTCTAATTCTTGTTCTGAATCTCTCAATGAGGAAATCGTTGACGAATCCGACGGAATTCAACTGCTTGACGAAGGAAACAATAGGGCAGAATCGGATTCCGGTTCACAATCTGAAAAAAACTGGGTTTCGGATTTGGGAGAGAAGGAGAGGGAAAGGGTCAGAGTCCTCGATATTATCCGGAAACTGAGCATCGAATCTGAGACAAACAACGACAATGGCTCGTTGGCCAACAATGACAGCGTAGGGACAAGCAATAAAGAGGTGCAGACAATGGAACAGAGAAGCTTTCCGCAGGTTGCTTGCGGTCCAAGGATCAGAGGGCGACAAGCTTATGAAGACTTGTTGATGTACATAGTGCGTGACCGGCAGAAAGAGCTCGCATGGCTCCTCGACCGAAACGCCGTTTCAAAGTTCACGTTTCGTGGCCGCCTTCAGGTAATTCAACGATTCCAAACTACTCGGTTTCGTGTAGAAGAAAATGAAACTAGAAGCTAAGATTGCAACTGTTGCTCTGTTTTTTTCTTCTCTTCAGACAATGCTCAAGATCAGGTGTTTGGAAAGGTGCCTTGCGATTCAAGACAGACATCGATCTAAATCAGCGGCACCTGACGTAACCCGATCCCAACGAGGGCTCGTCTTGGTAAATCTGAGGTATTGAACTTCTAAATTTCGGTACCGGGGTTTTCGTAATTCTGGTTCTAAGTTGCTGAAATACTTTGATGAAACAAAAAAATAATGCAGAGACAAATTCAAGACAGAGCCTGAGAACAGTAGGGTAGCCAATGTGGTCGAAGCAAGAAGCCCATCTGGTTCGGTCTCCTCCTCTAGGATGAATGAAGGAGGAGGCCATTATACAGAAGCTTCTACTTCTAGATTCAAAGTATGTTCGGCCGAGGAAACTGAAGAGAAAAACGTATTACCCGAAACAACCGGTAAGAGCAATTCATGGGAAAGATCCAAGAAAGCTGAGAACAGTCGTGTGGATTCCAGAAGTTCATCGAGTTCGGTCTCAGCCCGGGTGAATGAAGGCAGTGGCCATCATCCGGAAGGTTCAAGCGTGAAGGAAAGTCGCCTTCCTCTGCAGGAAACTGCAGAGAAGAATGTTTTGCAGGAAAAAACGAATTCGCAGGAGAGACGAGAGGCAAATTTCGGCGTACCAGAAGTCGTCAAGAAAGCGGTCTTGACCGAAACTGCAGAAACTAAAACATCGCCGAAGAAAACTGCAGAGAAGAAAATCATTCAGCAGAAAACTAAGGAAGAGAAGAGGGGGCCTCAAGAAAAATCAGAGGAAAACGACTCGATGAGAATCTTTTCGGAGAAGGTGAATCTGTGGAGCTCCAAGGAGAAAACCAGTAGCCGAAAAACACCGGAGAGGACGGAGGGCGAAGCTATTCCTCAGATAGTTGAGAAGAAAGCTATATTTCAGGAGGTTGAAAGAAGAATCGTCAATGTGGAAACTGCAGAAAGAAACATTGCTTCAAAAGAAATCGTTGAAAACATCACTCTTCGGGAAGCTAAGCAGTGTAACTCGGTTGAGAACGGAAGAACGGAGAGAGGGGAAGCAAATTCTGCAGAAGCTAAGTCCCGGGAGAGTGGGAATAGGAAGAATCCTCAAGAAGATGCAGAAACGCCATGTTTGCATAAGCCGGTTGAGGAAGAAGAAACTACCATACACATCTGCAGAGAGCGAACTATCGGGACAAACTGCTCGCAAGACGGTAAAAACGGCATGGAAGAGGGTGAGGATAAGAAAAACGAGAAGAATGAATGCACGGAAAATGGGGAAAATCAAGAATCGTCGACGGAAACCTGCCTGCCCCTTGAATCCATGGAATCTGTAAATAGTTGGGATGAAAGTGGAACTGCGGAAGATGATGAAGAAGTCGATGATCATGAGGAGGAACAATACGCGGATTATGATTCGTACAATGTATATAGTACTTACGATTGGATTAATGAGATATCGCGTCCTCGGAGTTACTGGGAAGATCTACGGAAGCAGTGGTACCTCGAGGTCCTAAACACTGATTCGCCGAAAGAAGATATCCGCAGGCTCATCGAGAGGTTTGTATGATCAAAATCCTTCCAAATCTTCGCGAGATTTCTTTCTTCCCCCTTCCTTTTCGGATTTGACGTTGTAATTCTTTATTAGTGTTGCCATTGCGCAGACGAACAGTTTCCGACTTTCTCTCGAGCGATTTGCGGGAAAAGATCGACAGACTGATGATTTCCCGGGCGCAGCAGCAAACATTAGATTTAGACAGAAACCCAAGGGAAGAAGAACTTACAGAGCGGTGGACTATTCCACGCTCGGAAATCTACCAAGATAACAGAGAAGAGAAGCAAGAAGAAAGTGTAACGGAGCAAGAACATGACAAGACGACAATTCAAGAAGCTGCAAGTGACAGTTTCAGCCAATCGTCGGCTCGGAGTACGATGATGTTGTGGAGTTTCGGAGAACAAGAAGTAGGCGACGATCAAGATCCCGTCTCGTCCCCTTCTCTTCCCGCACCTTCGCCGTCTCACCGGTCCCAACTCTCGTCTTTCCTTCCAAGCCATGGCAGTTCCCCTGTATGTTGCCCTGTTTTCTCTGCTTGCTCTTGCTCTGTCGAGTCAGTGAGGTTACGTGTCGGTGAAGTAACGTATCGGTGCTTGTTTACATTCTGTCAGGAAATGCAGATGATCAGTGATCTCAAGAGCCAGATGGATCAACTTCAACGGGAGATGATCGAGTTACGAAGCTCGATCAAATCCTGCATCGATATGCAGCTTCTTTTCCAGAAATCCGTCAAGAAAGATTCTTGTTCTGGTGAGTTATCTCACAAAATTTTCCGGTTTTTTCCTTCGTTCGAACGAATCAAAACCCGCAAACAAAGAACGGAATCATCAATCGCGTAAATATGCAGACGCAGATCAGCGAGGAGACGCGACTAGTCCGCTGAAACGCAAGTGCAGCGTCTGCTACGAGATGCCTGTGGACTCGCTCTTGTACAGGTAAAACTCACTCTGTACATTTGGTTTTGAAACTCGCGGAAAACGCAAACGTGACGTGGTTTGATCGCTGGCGTTTTGCAGGTGCGGGCATATGTGCACATGTCTGAAATGCGCGCATGAACTGCAGTGGAACAGCAGGAAATGCCCGATTTGTATGGCTCCGATCGTCGATGTCGTACGGGCATTCCTTTGATCCGTAGTTAGTTTCACTTGTACATTATTAATTCGGCTTTTGACTCGTTTCACAAAATACAATAATTAATACGCCTTTTTTTCATGCATGCACCTGAAAAATTGGAACTTTTTTTTTAAATATATTATTTTGTATATAATACATTGTACGGATAGTTTTTCAGTCGAATTGACTCCCATCTGGAATCATATTCTAAATCGAGCATCCCTCAATTTTTAAAATAAAAAACTTTATTATTGGCTCGAAGCATAATAGTTCCAGCAATTTTATTTCCCTTTTATCTTGGAAAATTATATATTCTTGTTTATAAACAAATTAGCTTAATGTAAATCAAAATCGTGGAAAATGATGTATCGGAAAATGGGGAGGTCCCTCGTCTATGAATATATATAACGCCTAGAGATATGTTTAGGCTTGTCCAAAATCAATTGGACATATCTCTTGAAGAGTTTCTGTCGTCCCAAATCCCACTATCTATTTTTTCTTCATTATATAAAATTTATGAACTATGGTCCATTATTTCTTATATATAATATATATATGAACCACGATTGTGACCATTAATTTGATACCTTGAGACTGAGATGTTGGAAGTATCGCAATAATTTTGTTAACTCTAATCAACTTGCATTGAAGAGCAGCAATTTGTTTGATATCCGAATCAATCCGAATATCACATGATTATAGTTAAATCAAATTGATTATAGTTTCCTATAAATCGAATCCAAACCGAATTAAATCGAGTATAAATTAATTAAAAAATAAGTATATCATCTGTACAACCAAACCAAATGCGAATCGAATTCAATACAGATTGGTTATAGTTTTGTTAAATTCAAATTAATCGAACCTAAATATAATTTTAGAAATCAGTTGTCTTTATTTTAATATTTTCCTAGCTTTCTTAAATGTCACTAATATAACCTATATAAACTATAAATCCTATTACAGTTGTTAAACCATGTATTTACTTAATTATTTCTATTAATTTAGTTGAAATTTTTTATATAATCATCACACATGATTATTCAACAATACTCCCTCCTTTCATAATAATCGAACGTTTTAGATAATTATTTTTGCTTCTAAATATATTCATACACGAGGGACCCTATATATATATAGTTATTTAGAAATGGATGTAGTTATTATTTAGCATATATAAGTCTTTAGAAGACGGGATCCTATATGTAAAAAGACATTTATTAAATAGTTTCCTGTTATAAATATTTTTGTCTCCCGTTGTATTCTAGCTTTCTGTCATACATACATACATACATACATACATACATACATACATACATACATACATACATACATACATACATACATACATACATACATACATACATGCATGCATGCATGCATACAGACATGTGTGCGTGTGTTAGGTATAGAGTAAATAATAATAGTGTAAAAGGAGAGGAGACAAAAACGAAGTACAAAGATAAGGGCGGAGGAAGAGGTGAGTTTCGGCCTCATCCACATTCCAAGCCACGCACATGAAAATGTTGCTCCGAATCTTTCTCCAAAATAGAAAGTCCATCACAATCATATATTATATGATTATTTGCACCGAAAAATTTCCGTTGCTGCGTACTGAAGTTGTTGGCCTCATAAAAGATAAAATGTAAATTTAAAAAAAACGCTTAAAAACGTACGTAAAATATTGTATACGTACGTATAATTAGTATTCATCCAAAGCCAATGAATGGAATCTCATGAGTGTGGTCATTGCAATAATGATGAAGCCTATACATACATGCATACACACACAGAGAGACATGAGCAGATGCAAAACGGAGTGATGAAAATTCTTTTACACGTTTTGTTCATAAACACATGGCATGTTCCCTCCTCGTGATTCCTTTAAAAGAAACACATCCATCTTTTCCAATTTCTATCCCTTTCTTTCTTTTCCACTCGATATCTAAATTTTGTCCTTTTTTTTTCTTGTTTCATTGCACCGGTCCAATATAACATATTATTATTATTATTATTATTATTATTTATATAGATATAGATAACCATCTCGTAAATAATTATAATCCCTCACGCTTTTTCGAATATGAACCAATTGGAAAGAGCTATTACTATTAGGAAACAAAACAGGAAATTGTTGCATGATGTATATGGACGGTGTTACTGGCTTGAAAGATGTTGGGCCACGTGGCCTATCACATCATATGTTATGCCGAATTTATTATTCCCATTTTCCTATCTTTGAACATTTTTTTTAGCCAACTCTTTGTATTGTGTTTGCAAACAATCTTGAGATACATATGATATGATTCCACGCATTTAAATTCTCTCATAAATAGTTTAATGTGGCAATACAAAATAATTTCCTTATATATATATATTTGTGTTGTGTGATTATCGACCTTTTTTTTTTTTGTTTGTTTGCAAAGAATCAAATGAAAGAGGAATTGACGTTTGAAGGGACTTTTTGTTGTTCGGTTGCCATCCTACAATTCTGACGGTCGATTGCATTATTGCATGTTTTTATGTTCCATAAGCTTGGATTACAGACAAAGCTTTAGGCTCCTCTTTATATTAGATGTCGATATTTACAGTTTTTATTTTTAGTTTACGTTTTTTGGTTTTTGAAAATTATATTTATTTGATTTTCATATTATTAGTTTTATACTGAATTATTTTTAATTAAAAATATTAATGTTAGAAATTTGAAAGTTTTAGTTGTTTTTATATTGGATCCGTAATAACTTCTAGTTCGATTAATAAAAAAATATATATCTAATATATTTTTAGATCAATTTCCATCAAAAAGAGTAATTAACTAATTAATTAAGGTCGGAGATCGCTATTTATTAGCTTTAGTTATGTGACTTTTGGGACATGTGCGCTGTCTCAACTCGCAGTTTGCAAGCTGCCATTTTAGATTTGACAAAAATAAAAATAAAAATAACTAAAAATTGACCGTCTTTAGGGATAAGTTCAAGAATGTCACACACATCTTGTGAAAATAAAGATATGTTTCTACCAAATAATTTAAGTATCTAGAGTTACATATAATATTGAATCCATTTTTAAAATATATATATATATATATATAGATGATTCACATTAAAGCAAACTACCCAATAAAAGCATGAAAATGATATTAGTGAACATAATATATAGGACTTTGGTTATGTTCAAGGACTATTAACATTCAACATGTTCGATTTCTTTCTTTTTTTATCCCATCAAATACTAACATAATAATGAAATTACCAAATATATTTCATCATTATGCAAATCAAATATATTTTATTTTATAACCTAATAGTTGTAGCTTAGGTTACAAAAGTCGATGAGAGATTCCACGGAATGTAGAAGCCGGTCCATGGGTATACACAGCTTGGAGATGGGACCAATTTCATATTCGGTGTTTTCAATACTCTCTGTAACAATTAATTTTCATCCGATGTTTTTATACTATGGTGTCCTATTTTATTTTTAGCAAACTAAATCAAAACATGAGAATGTATTAAAGCACAAGTATAATTATTTCAGAATATATATAGCTGCATATTATATATATATAATGTTTATATTTTTTTTTTCCAAAGAGCCATGTATTGATTTAAATGAAATGGAAGGTAATAAAGAAACAAGGATGGTAAGAGAGGGAGGGGAGATTGGGATAAAATGTAAAGCTGGACCTTATAAATGATGGGTCTCTCTCAAAAAAGTTTGGCACTTGCAATTTTTAGCAGTAAAGGCAAAAGCAATAAGTAAGGACCCCTCTTTTTTTTCATTTGCCACCACACCACTTCTTCCTCCCACCATTTTCCATTACATACATACATACATACATACATACATACATACATACATACATACATACATACATACATACGTGTGTAATTTTCATGAGAGAAAAAGGTTAAGATGATGCCTTAAGATAAGATAGAGAGATAGAGATGAAGAAGGTGTGTCATTGTCCTCTAGTGGCCCAAAAAGCAATTCCCCAAGGGATAGGCTGTTGCATTGCAAGACATATCCCCACCCCTCATGATCCCATGTTCTCCTCAAAAACCCTAAACCCCAAAAAAAAAACCTCACATAAATTGCCTCTAATTAAATCTCATTTTTATGTGTATATGAATTATAAAATGATTAGCCATCCACTTGCAATAATTTCTCCCCTACCCCACAAATTCATCACTTTTTCCCACATATAAAACCCCCCCTTCCTTGTATTTGCTCCTCACAAATCTAAACACAACACAACACAAACAATGTGTTCCTCCAAATCAAAGCCTCGCTCAGACATGACCCAAGACACCATTGCCCAGATCAACGGCCGTCCTGTCCTCCAACCGAAATCGAACCAAGTCCCGACCTTGGACCGACGCAACTCCCTTAAGAAATCCCCCCAACCAAAACTAACTACGAGACCCACAAGGCCTGTTTCTCTCATTTCGCCCCCTATCTCCCCAAAACCGAAATCCCCGAGGCAACCAGTGGTTAAGACAGGCAAAGATGTGGTTTCTTGCAAGGATTTGAGCTCGAGCTCTGACAAGGTTAATGTCAGACTCGTGCCGAAGCCTAAACCAGTTGCGAAGACGTTGAAGATGCCCACCGCTGATCTGTTGATTGTTCAGAAGCCCGGAAGTATAGCGGCTGCAAGAAGAGAAGAGGTCGCCATGAAACAAGAAGAGAGAAAGAAGAAAATCGCGCATTACGGGAGAGCAAAATCGAATAAGAAGAAGAGCATCGAGGTCGTCGATAATCAGGATGCCATTGAACAGGAGAAGAAGAGATGCAGTTTCATCACTCCCAATTCAGGTGTGCAAACTACTTCTCTGTGTCTTGCTTGAGGAGCAAGTAACCCAGTAAAGCATTTCTCTCTATTTTCCATGTACACAAGTTAACCCTAGTGATCGATGTTTACAGACCCCATATACGTTGCCTACCATGACGAAGAATGGGGAGTCCCTACTCATGATGACAAGTACGTCTTCTAATTGTATTTGTAAATTTACCTTAAAAAAAAACATTTTCGAAATCGAAGCTAAGTAATGTGTTCCGAAATCACATTTCAGTCTACTGTTCGAACTGCTGGTGTTAACCGGAGCTCAAGTTGGATCCGATTGGACTTCGGTATTGAAGAAAAGAAACACTTTTAGGTGAGAATCCGAAGAACCCAGATACGAAATTTCAATCTTTTTGTGTAAAGTTTGTAACTTTTCGGAAGAAGATCGATCGAAACTGAGAATTTGGTGGAAATCTTCGTTACTGCAGGGAGGCATTCTCAGGTTTTGATGCAGAACTGGTCGCAGAGTTCAACGACAAGAAGATACGATCAATCACCACTGACTATGGCATTGATCTTGGCCAAGTCCTTGCAGCAGTTGACAACTCCAAACAAATTCTCAAGGTCCGTACATAAATAAAAAGAATCCCACGAAAATCCAATTGTAATTCATTTATAATGGGCTGTAATCAACCGGATTATATACGTTTCATATGCAGGTGAAGAGAGAGTTCGGGTCATTCAACAAATACTTGTGGGGATTCGTGAAATACAAACCCATCATCACACAGTACACGTCGCGTCAAAAGATCCCGGTGAAGACATCGAAGTCGGAGAGTGTAAGCAAAGACATGGTCCGTCGAGGGTTCAGATTCGTCGGACCGGCCGTGATACACTCGTTCATGCAAGCCGCCGGCATGACCAACGACCACTTGGTTACATGTCCGAGACATCTCCAGTGTACGGCACTCGCCGCCCAGCCACCGGTCGCAGCCGTGGCCCCAGCTCTCTAGAAACCAAGACGAGAACAACAACATATATATATATATATGTGTGTGTGTGTATTGGTTGTTTTGTTATGTAATGTGGTAATAATGTAGAACCGTATACTAAATTAGAGTTCCTAACTTTTAGGTATCGGATATGTGTACAAAAGCTATCTTCTTGTGATTTGCAATTTGTTTTTATGTATTTTTTTTAATAAATGTATTTTTTTTTTTTGGAGTGATGGGTTGTGACTTGTGAGGAATCAAGCACATCGGGGGGAGACAGGGCATGTGCAAACGTTGGGTCCAAGCATCATGCGTTGATTTCAATATATGCACACTTTATTATTTATTCTCTTTTAGTTGTGGAAAAAAGATGAATAGCATCACCACACACACACAAAAAAAAAGATGATTTTTTTTTGAATTTGATGCGGACTATAAATATTGTTATAAAATGTCATCGCAATACGTATAATACAAATCATATGTAATAAGAACTTATAGAACTATATGCAAATATTGGAATCATCATAACATTTTTCGATACGAGTCCAAAGAATCATGATAACGAATGATTAAGTATATTCGCATCATTATTTCGATAGAAAAAGGTGAATGTATCGAATAAAGAAAAAAAATTAAAATCATCATATGCTTGGAAAACGGATATCGCTAAGTCCCGATATTTTTTTGTCGTGAAATAAAAATTAATTTTAGTGTTTCTAAATTTCTAATATACTCGTTACAATAATAAATATATAATATGATTTAGGGGCGTCTCAAATGCATAATATAATTTCAATATGACATTCGATAAAGGAAGGAAAGGATGAGACGAAGATGGAGGCCCGTTAGTGGAGAAGTAAGGCCTTCAAGGTGGTTATGGTTTCGGCCCATTATTTATGTCGGGTCACTAGGCCTGCCTCTTTTTAAATATATATAGTTTATCAATATAAAAATAAAATTAGCGTTTTGTTTATTTATTTATTTAATAGATATTAAACCCTCGAGTCATATTTTTTTCCGATTTTGTATTGCACTCTTCTTATTCTTTTTCTATTTTCACATTTAATTTTGTAAATTAATTAAATATTAAATAATAAATAATAAGAGAGAGAGAGGGAAATGGAAACGCTGGGGGAGAATGATGTGGGGGAGGTGGGCGAAGTGCCACGTGGAGGACAAATGTTAAAAGCGTTATTTAACGAATAATCTTTTCCGGGCGCGTGGGCCCCAACGCCTCCTCTTCGGTAAAAACAGAGAGTTTTTCTTTTTGGTTCGTATAACTGTTTATACGACCGTATAATTCCAAAATTGTTGGCTGAAGAATGAAATTATTGGGACTATATATAAGTTAGGGTGAGGTAAATTCCCAAATTTGTAATTGAAATGGACCCCGGACATGCAAATCATTTACGAATTACAACCATAGTTGCCAGTTAAGAAATATTTCCGTATAATAAAGATACAAAACATTATAAGGTGCAATTACAGAGAGACGGAATCTGTCCGTCTTCTTCTTCCCTTTCCCCATCTCCCCCTTTCTTCCTTCTTCTCTCTCTCTTACTTCTCTGCGCGTCTTCTTCATAATGGGGAAAGAGACGGATCCAAACCCTAAAGACAAGAAGCTCCTATTCCGTCTCATTTGGAACTTCTCCGCCGAGCTCAAGGTCACTTTCATGGCTTTGGTCGTTCTCTTCGCCTTTGCCACTCTCCTCCCTTTCTTCCCTTCCTCTTTCTCCTTCTCCGCCTCCGATCTCCGCTTTTGCATCTCCCGCATCGTCGCCGCGACTCCCGTCAATACTACCGCCGGAGATTCCTCTCCTCCGCCCCAGGTGACGGAGCCGGACCGGGTGATAAGTAACGGCGTTATCAAACGGTCCTTCACCGGCGTCGGCTGGGCTGCGTATAACTTCGTCTCCATGGGCGCTTACAGAGGCGGCGTTAACAGCTTCGCCGTTATCGGCCTCTCGTCGAAGCCGCTCCATGTCTATGGCCATCCCTCCTACAGCTGCGAGTGGGTCCCTAGCGACCCGACCCGGGAGCGGATTCGGGCCGACTGGTACAAGATCCTACCCGATTGGGGCTATGGTCGCGTTTACACTGTTGTCGTCGTCAACTGCACTTTCCCGTTAATCTCCGCCGTTAACGGCGATAACTCTGGCGGGACTCTCCTCCTCCACGCGACCACCGGAGATGCCGATCGGAACGTCACCGACACGATCCCTGTATTGTCGGAGAAGCCAAACGCCGTCGATTTCGAGCTCTACAACTCCACGCTCCATCGTCCCAAGTACGATTACCTCTACTGCGGCTCGTCCCTGTACGGAAACCTCAGCCCGCAGCGCGTGAGGGAGTGGATCGCGTACCACGCTCGTCTATTCGGCGAGAGGTCTCACTTCGTGTTCCACGACGCAGGTGGGGTCCACGAGGAGGTGTTGGAGGTGCTGCGGCCGTGGATGGAGCTCGGGCGCGTGACGGTGCACGACATTAGGGACCAGGAACGGTTCGATGGGTATTACCATAACCAGTTCATGGTGGTGAATGATTGCTTGCACAGGTACAGGTTCATGACGAAATGGATGTTCTTCTTCGACGTGGATGAGTTCATCTACGTACCGCCTAAGAACACTATCGCGTCGGTGATGGAATCCATGGAGAAATATTCTCAGTTCACCATCGAGCAGATGCCTATGAGCAGCGAGCTCTGTTTCTCCGGCGACGGTCCGGCGAAAACTTACAGGTACTTGAATGGGTTAGTTATCTGATCGAATTCCGGGTGTTTTCAAATTTTTCTCTGATTAGTTCCAGATTACGTCAGAATTCCTCGTTCAATTGATGAATCTACATTGTTGGGTCGATCAGTTTTGAGGATTAGATTTGGGAAGGGGCTATAGTGGAAAATAACTCTAATGGGCAAAAAAAGAACAAGAAATCATGGTTAGATTGTCTGGTTCTGGGGGCTTGTCGGTCCAATCATTGAACCTCTTACCGACCATTCACGTGTACAGTTTACTTAGCTTGGAATACGTAAAAATCGGATTCATCGTATACTCTCGACATGAACAGAGTCTTGCACATTCCGTATTTGTCCTGTCCCCACATCAAAGTTTCGAACTTTTTTTATCCAAATGACATTCTAATTACAGTACAGTCATAACATGTGTCAAGAATTGATCTGGAACCGTGGCTGTCTGTCTCAGGAAATGGGGAATCGAGAAACTGGCGTACAGGGACGTGAAGAAGGTCCACCGACGGGACAGGAAGTACGCTGTCCAACCGCGGAGCGTGTACGCGACGGGCGTCCACATGTCGCAGAATCTGGAGGGGAAAACGACCCACAAAGTCGAGGGGAAGATCCGATACTTCCATTACCACGGCTCCATCTCGCAGCTAATAAAGAAACAAGGATGGTAAGAGAGGGAGGGGAGATTGGGATAAAATACCCTTCGGGACGTGGGCCTGACCGTGAGGACGTTCGAGCTGAGGACGATCGGGGACCGGCTACTTCGGACACGGCAATGAGAATGTAATGTGAAAGTTGAATCTCTCACTGGTTTTTTTAGCGGATAGGCGGAGGGGACGACAACATGTTATGCTCTTTGCAATAATTTTTCTTTTTTGTTTGTATGGATTCTTTTGATGTATACGATATGGGGGTTCTTATACGTACAGCTCATACTCTGTCGTATGTAAGCGTCTTTATGGGCTTATTTATTTATTTATTATTTATTGGGAGATTGATTTGATTCTTTAATAATAATGATGGAGATTAATTATATTCTGTCGGTTTAATCAAAGTCGACGATTGAGGGGCGGACTAAGCGGTAAAGTTATGCCCTTGCTTAGAGTTAGATCCATTTTTTATTTAAAAATCAATTATATATATTTTTTAAATTAAATTAATAGATTGGGATGCGTGATATATATTTTTTCAATAAAAGTAAAACTCTAAATTATCGAAAAACAAAATCTAAAACAAATGAAATCTAGTAAAAAAATCGAGTAATATATATTTTTTTGAAACTAAAAAAAAAACTATTCAACTTTACCCTCCTCCCTTATCTTTTCACCTTAGTTTTATACTCATTCTCTCTCCCTTTTATTCTTTGATCTTTTTATGTACATGCTTTTTTCTTTTTTTGATTTGGAATTAATCACAATGCCTAATATTGTAATTTCAATCATCACATTGAGTCTGTTGCCTCATCTCAAATGTAAGAAAATAATCGTATCAATAATGTACATAATAAATATATTAAAAAATCGGTTTTGGGTTTGTACGAAAATGTGATAGTTGTTATATTTGTAAAAGAAATAATCGGATGAATTAAATGATTTAATACAGACGACAAAAAGTGGGGACAGCGATTAATTAAGAAAAAAAGGACACATGTTTCGTGGAGGTCAAAGTGGTCGCTGCACCACCCAAGTGTTCGACCTTCATTCGATTTTTTTTTTCTCTGATAATTATTTATTTTATTTATGTGGCTGTTTAATCGCGACGAAAATGACGTCGGTGAGTTTTGTATGTTGGAGGGCAATTGGATTATGATTCACCCGGTAACTTAGGCGAGAAGGCACACTTGGAAGAAACACATTCTCGGCAAGAAAATAAATCACCGACACCATCAGCTCACAAATCAGGAAATCCTCAAACGTAATTGCTATGTTTCCATTTACCAAGCCTCACATATTTCCTTGCCATGTATAGAATTGTATAGCCGTTTTACTTTTTCTGTTTATATATTCTGCACAAAAATATGTAATAAAATATACAAGAGAGCATGTTCTTTTCGCAAACTCTTCGTCAACCCTAAACTACTCTTCGATCTGTTCATCTCTTGTTGTGTTTTTGACAAATTCCAAACATCAAAATCATATAAATCTATATTGTAGACCCTTTTTGTTAAATGATTTTGAAAATGTTTAAACCGTTTTTTTTTTCTTTCTAAAATGTCAAATTCAAAATAAATAACTTGTTTTAATTTATACAGACTGTATAATTCGAATCGCAAATGTGCTTTAAATATAGTTATTGTTTAAGCCATTAATCCGAACCGGTTTGTCAATATTATATACCAAATGAACCCAAATTCCGGATGTAAAGTAATAGGAAAACTAAATAACTGAAATTATATATTTTATAGATATATGTATAGATATTTATTACTAAAATTTTTCGGGTTCATAATCGCGTCTTCTATCAAAATGGCATAAGGGCATTATGTCCCACGACCGTATATAAGTAATGTCGACGTGTATTATCGGCTACGTGTAGAGAAATTGGTGTACCATTGATATGAAATTTTTTTTTATAATAGAGGACTCCTCACTACTACCTTTCGGGCGTGCTGACTATGTAAATCTCCGCCCCGAAAGTAGCCTTTGTATATAGATCATATAAATTTAAAAATTACTTTCCTCCCCACCAGTCAAGAATCGAACCCTCAAATTCAAGGTGGAGTTACCTCCTACCCCAAACTTAACCACTCGCCCACGATCTGTTGGGTCGGTTGATATGGAATTAGTTAACGTTGAACTTAAGGGAACATTTAATAGATTCGTCGAGATTGCGTGATTTCGCATGAGGATACTGTTTTTATTTATTTACAAGAAAATGCAATAATATCATGAGAGTTTTTATTTTTATTTTATTTCCGAAAGAATCGTGAGTTCTGGGATTTTCATTGAGTTAACTGAAGGCTCGCTAGTTCTTTTTTTTTTTAACCCATTAAATAAAAAAATCAACAAGAAAGGATTATTACTATGAGGGTAATATCGTAAATACATTTATTTACAATACTAATGTACTCGTATTGTATTGAATTAGGGGTGGACATTAGTTTCGGTTATTTATAAACCGAACCTAAATAAAATGTAATTATAATCGAAAAAATTTTGATATAAAAATTAGATAATTATAATTATTATTATTTTGTAATGTAGTTATAATTATTTTATGATTAAAAAATCGGGTTCGAACAAAATGCGAACCAAGTCAATATAACCGAAAATTTGTAAGCTTTTTTTTAAAAAAATAAAAAATAAAAAACTGAATCCCAACCCAAATCGAATTGGACCCATCTGAAAAATCAAAATACCCACACAATAGGATATATGAGAACAAAAACATTTTCGTATCGAATATAATATATATACAGAAAACATAATCACAAAGGCACTTTTCACTTCCCTCTCGTGCATGTATATATCTATTTCTTTGGTGTACATAATGTTTTTTTCTCATGGTAATTGCTACAAATCGTAAAAAAAAAAAAAAAAAGGCTAATTCGTTATCAAGACTTTTGTCTTCAAACGGTTTGAGCTTCCATGAAAATGCTTAAATCCTGGGAGGCTTGTATCAACCGAGGCGTGATCGACGTCGGAGACGCCGGGTAAGACACCGGCGACGATGTCGAGAACCTAACGTGACGCGGTGATTCGGTCGACCTCCTCGATTTCGAACCGGACGTTTTCAGTACCCCTTTGATCTCCTTCTCCAGCGGTTCCTTGTCAAACACGAAAGCCGCCGAAACCGGCTCCCC